CAAGAACAACAAATAAACAAAGAACAAAACAAACACCAAATGAACCCATATCTCTGTCTCAATACTTCTGTGCAACTCCATTTCCTACTTTAATGACTGAGTTTACAAATTTGAAATAATACTTGACCCTTATTTTAGTAATCACATACACACACCCCCACATACACACATATTTAGAGCCTCCGGGTAGGCATAAATAAGCAGAAATATCATGACTGCTATTTTTGCACCACTGAAGTTGAATAAAAACATTCTAAAATATCATCAGAATACAATAGTACATAGTTTCTGTTACTCTGGTTATGGAAATAATTAATGACTAGATAATTATATACTTGCAAGGCATATTTGGTCCATGCCTAACCAAATTTATGATATAGCCAACGAAAGGATCCATAAGTCACTATGAATTAACATTCACATGTAAAATATATTATAATATATTAAGAAATGTAATTTTTACATTTCATAATGAGCTTTTCCTATTTGATGGTAAGCCACACTGGCTGTAAAATTGTTTTCAATTGGATATAATTTCCAAGTTATAAAAGTTTACTTAAAACACTAAAAAATAAAACACTAAAACAGGATATGTAAGAATTGTTGAAACTACGCAAAGAGACTAGAATTTATCCAGTGAAGAAATTTTTGTGTTATAGTATCATGTTGTATCAGAGTAATATACAGCCCACTGGGCTTGGGTAGTTGTACTTCACAATTGATACATGTGGAAAAAAAAGAGAAAGAGATTGGGAAAGAAATGAAGGAAGGGATGTCTGTATGATGCCTTCCTGTTCTCCCAAACAATACCACACCTCAGAAACATGTACACTGCTGGAATGTCCTGCAAAAGAGCGACTAACTTAGAAATCAAGGAATAGGTTTATTGTATCAAATCATGGTGGTTAGCTCCCTGGAAAAATAAAGCACTGAAATCTCAGCTTCCCACTGAAAGCATAGCCTGAGGTTGTGTGTACTTCTGGTCTCAACTGCCTCAGATAATTAATTTCTTATGCATTCTAATATATTTTTAAAAGGAACAACAAAACTGATTAGGATTGTAGCAGAATGCCATTTATTAGTAAATAACAAAAAGCTCAAGTCAAATAATACACAGTATGTATTTTCCCTAGAACTAGAAGTCCAAAGGTAGGTCAGGATTCATGGTTGATATGATGTAGTGGCTCAACAATTATGTCATCAAGAATCTAGTATCTTTGTTTTGGACTATGCTTTTGAGCAGGATCAGCTTTCTTCTAAATCTGGCTCCCATTATGGTTGCAAGTTGCATGCCAATGACTTCTGCGGCCACAAATCTAAAAGGGAGTGAAAGGGGGTTATTTCCAGACACCTTCTCAGAAGAGTGAGGAATCTTTTTTTTTTTTTTTTTTTTTCCCAAGAGCCTCTCTCCACCTAAATACACACAAATATCTCCTTACATATCATTGTCCCCAAATGGGTTATATGCCTATACCCAGGCCAGTAACTGTGGCCAAGAAAAGGGAACAGATTTAGTTAGTTCTGATATGTAGACTTTTTATTAAATCCAAAGGGGATATCATCTTTCCCCAAAGCATTGATATAAGTATCCGATGAAATCTGAAGATGATACAAGAAAACAGTGTTGAAAGCTAGTGAAACAACCAGAATATAATTTGCAAAGGGTTTCCTGTAAGCCTACTGATTTACTGCTGGAGTTCTAACAATGGTACCCATAGTTCTTTCCCAGTGAAATAAACTTTGATGGGTTACAGTCAGAATTCTCAATATTTAGTGTTCATGGCAATTACCTACAGAGCTTATTAAAAATGCAAATGCCTGGACTAAAACCCAATATTAAAATTCAGTAGATATGGGGCATTTTAACAGACACTCAGAAAGATTGTGTTATGGATGATAGGAAGATTACACTTTCTTAAATTCTATACATCTGATGTAATTTTTACTCTCTGCTTTCTTACCATCATTATAATTTCAGTATATTCTTCTAAATGCTGACCAAGTGGAACAATACACTTATTTGCTAGGTTGTTTATTTTGGGCTTTCTTTGTGCATGTGTTTAAATTTCCAGAACTAAAAAGAGACTGCATGTGCCATAGACTCAGGTTTTTATTTTAATTGCTAATTTTCTGACTTCTGAGAGGAAGAGAGAAGAGTCATTTGGGTAGCATGATAGTACCTTCTGTGATACTTGTTTCAAGGAAATGTCATTAAAAAGGCAACTAATGTTCACTTCGAGGTTTGTTTTTACTCTGGGGCTCTAGTTGCCACCTGTTAATAGTTCATGATGTTTTGTTCAGTAATGCAGTTAGCCTTTGTTACAGAGATAACTAAAGCTGAATTATTACCAACACTAACCCTTGTGTATATGCATTTATGAGTTGAAATAGCATGAATATTGGTTAATGACATTTACCCATATCAAGGAAGCACTGCTATGTAGATGTTGAATATAAAGATGTTGATACATCTATATATGTTGATATATAAAGATGTTTATGTATGTAGATGTTGATACAACCTTTGCAAAGTTGTGTATCTGCTGGCTGTAATTCTACTAATTTGTCACAAAGATACTTTTGGGTATTGCAAATTCAAGTGTAGGTTGGTGCACAGCTTGCCCTATGGGATTTGTTTTTCAAAGGTTCTGATAGCTAGGACTCTTGTTAAATTTGGAATCGTCTTCATTTCTGTACTTGCTAGTACCTTCCTAAAAATTCTCACTTACTTCTACATAATGGAAGAGTAAAATCTTAGCAACTTCTAATCTTCCTTCCTTAGATGTTACTTCTTCAGGGTGTTTTGTTTAACCAGTCAGGATCTCAGCTTCCCATGACTGTACTTGGATTGCAAGGGACATGGAAAAGCTTCCAAAAAAGAATTCCATTTCTTGAAGGGATTTCTCTCCTCAGTCTCTATATCAATTTTTCTTTCTTTTTTCCCCCACATTTATGCTTAAGTCCAGCTAAGATTATTTAGGGGCATAACCACTCCCATGACCCAATGCTTTAAATAGTGCTGACTGAATTTCAATAAACTCCCTGTCATCTAGTTTTTGTCTTTAAGTAGAAATGGAATCAGCATTTTGTGAGAAAATAAGGCATAGTGGAAGGAGTTCAGTTTTAAAGTCACGCTGACATGAGCTCATTCAAATTGAACTCAGATCGTTCAGCCACTCTGAACCTCTGCATTTTCCTTTATCAAATGAAAAATACTTTCATCTCATTGGGTGCTTTGTTAATTTAGTATAAGGATTTATTTTTCCTTTTGAATAGCTAGACTTTTGTTAACAATGACTCATCTAAGTCAGCACTTCTAAAAGCCCCTATGATATTTTCCAAAAAGGGAATTCCTGGAAGCTACCATTTTTTTTCCTCTCTGAACATGTTATGATATATTTTGGACATGATAAAGCGGCAAACAGCTTTTAAAATATTTATGTTCTCTGCCCTATGCATGCCAACTGTGTTTGCTCTCTCCATTTCTTTATGTGCCAAGGAGGCGAGCCAAACAGTGTGAGAGGAAAATACTGTCAGGACACAAAGTCAGCTTGTCTAAAGTGTACTCTGCGCATATGTAATCTTAACGGAAAAGAGTGGAGACCACTCCCTGGCGGCACAGTGATACCTTGATTAACGAAGCCTCTGGGAACAAAGTTCCTTTATAAGCAATTCAGCTGAGTAAATTTTTATTTTAAAACGTCACGAATCAAGTGAAATAATACTGGCTTGTGTCAACTAATTCATCTGTCATATTCTGGGTAAACTGCACTTCCTCACAGAGCAGAAATACTTCACAGACTGTGTGTTGAAGTCTAAAGGTTGAAAGTATGAAGTAATAGGCAAAAATGTAAAGGTGCTTCAGACAAACTTTTTTTCACTCTTGCAATTGCTGTGCTCTATCCTCCACATACACAGGGCAGTAAGTTATTGCCCTTGGAGTCTTGCCGCTCTCAAACCTTCCTACCTCTTAAAACAGGAATCAACATGATTCATATGTTTATGAGTTACAGTAATGTTATCTTATACATCAATACAAAATAGCACATGATAAGATATATCTTATATGATACTGCCTGGCAATACCTCAATCCTGGCTGCAAGTTAATGCTATGTAAAGACTCTGACTTAATTGTTTCTATGTGAAGCCCAGAATTTGGGATTCTAATATACTTACAATGTTCCTAATTACTCCCCAAGGTGAAAATTATATTTTCATATTGTGGCCTCCTTTTTTATAATATCTGTGTATATCCATGTGTGGGCTGCAGAATATGAGTCAGAGCCACCTGGGGTCACTCTTTAAAATGTAGGTTCCTGTGTCCTTACCACAGAATCACCACTATTAAATGTTGAAGTGTGTGGTATATGTAAGTGTGTATATCTTTGCGACACACACGCACTGTGTGTTTGTGTGTGTATGTGTGTGTGTGTGTGTGAGAGAGAGAGAGAGAGCGAGAGTGAAAAAAACTGAAATATTCATGTTAAAGGAAAGTTCAAAGTGATTATGAGTCACTCTAAAGCTCAATTATTCCTTTCTTATAACTTCTATCTCATGGAACAAAATTTTTGACCATCAGCAATGACTTTTAATTCCTCTTTGCCAAATAGAAAATTGATGGTGGGGTAGCTCTGTGTTATATACAATTCATATTTTTCAGCAATAATATTTATAATAATTTATACTCAAATTAAATGAGGTTAATCTTGTTTGCAAAGAAAAAAAACAGACGAATGTTTTTCTCTAATAAATATTAATAGATATTTTAATGTATAGGAACATATATATTCTGATTTAATGTGAATACTCAATCTGTTATTAAATAATGACAAATTTCTAATGTCTATACAAAATTGCAAGTCAGAGGCTTGTAGTTAGTGTTTGGAAATGTGAAACGTATTTATGCTCAATCTCAATATGTCTCTTTCTCTCTCTCTCCCCACTTCTCCCTCCCTCCACTTTTACCCCACCCCCATTTCCCCTTTTCCTCTTATCATAGCATCAGAAGAAGAAAAACCAACGTCAGCAGGTACGTTTCCTATGTTATAAAGATTACTCTTATTTAATGTCATGCCTTTGATAATACAGACTCAACTTTTTGAAGAATATTTTTTCGGATTTCAACCAGAAAAATGGCACAGGTTTATTTATTTACTTTTGTATTTGCTGAGCCCACTATCCTGTGCCAGACTAAATGATGTTGGTTAAGAGTTTTGAATAAAAGGAGAAAAGTCTTGAAATGCACTAATACAGAGGAAAATGCAGTACAAAATAGCCCATCGACATTAACGAATAAGGAAAATTAGAAGATGAGAACATTGAGAAAATACAGAAAAATAACACAATGAGAATGATAAAATTAAGAATAAAAAGGAAGAAAATGGTAAAATAAACTTTCAGAAATACCTTTCATGAGAGAATACAGGACTATCACATATATAACTGGCATCAAACATCATATTCACTGCGTTTAAGGGTGAAAATTATGTCTGGCTTACTCGTTTTGTTTTAAAAATGTAATTAAAACAATTATAATTTAATAACCCTGTAACTTGGCATCGTGACTTAGTTTCTTTTCAGCTAATTAGTATGTATCAAATACAGGCTGTGGCCTGAACCATGTGCAATGACGAATGCAAATGGTAGAGATGGGATGATATTTTCAACATTGTTCCAGGACAGTGGGACAGGTCAAAGAGAAATGCCAGAGAGACTAAAGACCGGACACAATTATAAGAATAAAATAGGAGGAAAAAGCTCGCTTGATTAATTAATAAAACACCAGACTAAGAAACCAACAACATCAGAAAAAAATAGAGTCAAGCCCTGAGATGCAGGCAGTTAGTGGTTGGTCTGAAGAAAAAAGACCACAGCATTAGTTGGATTCCTTTTAGTAATTGAGGAAAGGAGTTAGGCCTGAGAGACAAGAGCAGGACAGGGCTCCTGAAATTGATGGTCAGAATGGTGCTTGCTTATATGGAAGGAGGGAAAGTAGCCAGGTTACTGGGACTCGGATGTAAGGTAAGGTCAGTTCAATTCATAGATCTAACTTATTTCAACTAGCCTGGCTTCATGACTTCTAACGCCATGCAAAACTGGACAAGGATTTTACCTGTAGGAGTAAATTCAAAACACCAAAATTTTAGGGAAAGAAAAGATCTTACACATGTCTTTGATAAATTCCAAGGATATATAAATGTCATGTTGCATGATTTGTTATAACTGCCTTTAAGATGGAATCAGAGAAACAGACAAACTCTCAGTTGATGTTTTATTTTCATAATACTCTTGGGTTGTCTGTAACCTGATTTGAATAGAAACTCCTCACATTTTCTCCCATTCTAGACAGTATTGTATAGCCTATTTTAGGAGCAACCTAATCATGGGACTCAATAGCAAACTCATCTGTTTTTGAGTTACCGCTGCCTAGTTTCTGACTTCTCTTTGTCCTGACTTGAAGCTTTGCTGTTGATAGTATTGCCCAAAGACTCTGTCTATATTTCTTTCTATTGTGATATAATTTTTCAATATAGACAACCCATATATTTGGCACATAATTCAGGCAATACAGAGCATTTACAGTTAAAAGTAAGGTTGCTATCTCTTTTAACCCTAGTCTCTTAGTTTTCTTCCTGAAAGGCAACCCCTATTAACTGTTTCTTGAGTCCTCTTCCAGAAAAACTCCAGGCCTGTGTTGTCCAGTAGGGTAGCCAGTAGCCACATAGACTATTGAACACTGTACTATTCCAAATTGAAATATAACTTAAGTATAAAATGTACACTGGATTTCTCTTTTGTTGTTATTTTAACTTTAGTTACAGGGGGCACAGGTGTAAGTTGGTTACATAAGCATATTACGTCTGGATAGGGAGAATAGTATCCAATAGGTATTTTTTCAACCCACACACTCTTCCTCCCCTCCTCTCTCAGTAGTGTAAAGTGTCTGTTCTTCCCATGTTTATGTCCATGCGTGCTCAATGTTTAGCTCCCACACATAAGTGAGAACATGTGATACTTGGTTTCTTGATCCAGCATTAATTTTTGAATCACGGCCTCCAGCTCCATCCATGTTGCTGAGAAGAACTTAATTTCATTCTTTTTCATGACTGTATACAATTCTGTCGTTTGCATATACTATGTTTTCTTTATCCAATCCACCGTTAGCACCTAATTTGATTTCATGTCTTTGCTATTGTGAATAGTGCAGCAATGAACTTATGAGTGCATGCGTCTTTTTGGTGTAATGACCTATTTTCCTTTGAGTATATACTCAGTAATGAGATTGGTGGATCTTATGGTAGCTCTGTTTTAAGTTCTTTGGGAAATCTCCGAACTGCCTTCTGTAGTGACTGAACTAGTTTACATTCCCACCAATACTAAGTAAGTGTTCTCTCTTCTCCACAGCCTTGCCAGCATCTGTTGTTTTTTGGCTTTTTAATAATATTTGTTCTGACTGTGTGAGATAGCATCTCATTGTGGTATTTGATTTCCATTTTTCTTTTTAGTGATGGTGAGCATTATTTTCATATGCAGTTGTCTTCTTGCGTATCTTCTTCTGAAAAGTGTCTGTCCATGTCCCTTGCCCATTTTTTTACTGGGGTTGTTTTGCTTTTTGGTTTGTTAAATTCCTTATAGATTCTGGATGTTAGACTTCTCTGACTAGGACTTCCTCTGTTGTATTTCTTAACTTTAATTGGGCTTTCTCTTTAGGTGTCAATCTTTGACAGCAGCCATCATTTTCTAGCCCAATTCATTTTTGTTTCTCTCTGCTACCCACACCTTACTAAGTCGCCTGCCAAGCAGTCTTGGTGCCATTGTGAAATTATTGTTTTGTATGAAGAAGATTAATTGTAACCCAATGTAAGCTGTATTTAAGTGTAATATAGCTATTTGTGTACTTTTCTTATTCTAAATCTATTTTCATCACTTCTCTCCTTACTAAGAAGGTCTTTTTGTGAAATGCAACTGAACATTTTTTCTTCAAATACTTATCTTACTCCAGAGCTATCTGCATACCATAGAATTTAAATTATGTTTTAAAAATACTTTCATTTATAGATATGAGCAGATGTTTTGTTGTGATTTTAGCATAGACTTTTAAAATAGAACAAATGCACTCTTAAGGAATATTTAGCTACATAATTTCACATGTGGATTATATTAACATTGAGAAAATGTGTCATTTACTAAAACAGACTCCTTTTGTACAAAAATCAGACAATGGGAACCAAATGTTTTCCTTTTAATTTAATCAAACTGTATAATAAAGAGTGTATTAAAACATTTGACAAAATATTATCAAATTTGCAAATAAATTTCATAAATGATATGAATACAAAAATTGGATTGAGATTTTTGAGGTCATTTTAGTATCTCTGGCCCTAAATTTTTGCAACATTTATTTTCTTAAAGGAATCGGTATTATCCTGGTCACTTATATTTTTCAGTAATGCTTATCAAATATATATCTTTAACTTAGAGCTACCATTCATAACATATTTGTTTATTACAGCATTAATATTCTGCTTTCACTCTTATCTCCTTTCACCAATAGAATTGATGCAGAATGATATTTTTCAAGCTCAGATAAATTTTTGTAGTTCTCTTTTAATTCGTCTCTCTTTCCTGTTATTCCTCCATTTTATTTCAGTTATCAGTGAAATGAAATCTTTTGTTTGCCAGAAAAATTGTATGTTAATTCAGCTTTCACATGTTCCCATATCACGTATTTACCAGTTTCATACTCTTCCAGATTGAACAGCGACTCCTTCGAATATATAATTTATTTAAATGAAATATTTTAATATTCTAATAGGAGATAAGCTATTCTCAAAGTAAAGTAGTAGAATAAATAATAAATAGATTTTTTTTACTGCCAAAAAGCCAAAGGCTCCTGATTAATATTTGTTAATGTATGAATTTTTAATTTTAAAATGATATTTTTTTGAACAAATCTATATATAATTTCTCTAAAAATGTAGGATTCTAGTGAATATTACTACACAATTATACTATTTAGTAAATTTTTTTAATGTATTGGTATTATATGACAAATCTAGGTTATATGACAAATCATAGGAACACCAAATTGGACTAATTGTAATTCAATAGTTATGATACTTTCTGATTGTTTAGAACTATTTTTAAAGTAGATAATAGATGTTTATCTTCAATAATGCATGAATGAAAAAATTTAGGAAGACAAACAATAACTGAAAAATCAGGGAGACATTAGGTAACATTTTACTTATGTTAATAGTGCTACAAAATAATGTGGATTTTTTTTTACAATGGAATACAATTGATTTGCCTTATATTTTGAATTATTGTTAAGACTGCATCATTAAAACAGATAAGTGATTCCTCCACTTTGTTTCCATGTAACTCAGATTATATTTCGTAAAATAAATTTAAGAATGAAAATATTCTTATACTTCAGAAAATCACATTGTGTCTTTGGTTATTTCTTCATATATGCCCACCGTCTTTTATTTGAACTTCTAAATTGCCTTGCAGATAGCAAGTACTTAATCAGTGTTTTTCAATGTTGACTCGTAGAGGGGATACATAATGTATCATGTCTGCATTTCTAATAGTAGGCATGCATCACTTTATTGATTGTGAAGCATCTGCTTCTTAATCATTTTCAGGTCCGAATGCTCTGGTAGGATGTATTAGCCTAAAAGATCATCTTTTTAAAATATATATATATATATATATATATATATATATATATATATATATATATATATATTTATTGTACTTTAGGTTCTGGGGTACATGTGCAGATCATGCAGGATTATTGCATAGGTACATACATGGCAATGTAGTTTGCTGCCTCCATCCGCCTGTCACCTATATCTGGCATTTTTCGCTATGCTATCCCTCCCCAACCTTGCTATTCCCTGCTGTGTCTCCCCTAGTACCCCTAAATAGACCCCAGTGTGTAATGCTCCCCTCCCTGCATCCATGTATTCTCATTGTACAACACCCACCTATGAGTGAGAACATGTGGTGTTTGATTTTCTG